TTAAAACATAGTCTTACGTAAAGTCAAGAGATAGTCTTGGAGAAGGCACTGTGAGGAGATATCAGGCACTCAAGAATGTGCCAGGTTGCAAAAAATTCTCTCAAAAGACACACAACACACAATAAACACCTTTAAGAATGAACTGGGGGAGTACACAATCACAGGGAAGGAAACAGTAAGGGAACTCCTCACGGTTCACTTCCCTTGTGCACAAACCAGCACACATACACCGGCTAACCGGAATCTAAACGGACTGGAAGCTCATAATAGAGCCAACAAAAATGGGAAATTAGCTCATTCGAACCATATAAATAAAAAATAAGACAGAGGTACTGATATTTTATACAGCAGACTCTGTAACATACTCAGAAGTAGCCTGGCCTTTGGACACATATCAAAAGCTTGAAGAAATATTAGGGTAACTTTTATACCAAAACCTGTGAAAATAGGACAGGAAACGGCAAAGTCCCTAAGACCAATAAGTCTTATGTCCTTTGTACTTAAGACTTTGGAAAAACTGCTAGATATGCATATTAGAGACGGGAGATTGGTTCAGAGACCAATATACCAAGACCAATACGCCTATAGTGCAGGGAAATCAACTGAAACAGTTCTCCATCAATTAATAAAAGGGGTGGAGAACACACTGGAAAACAAGGAGGTAATGCTGGGAGCATTCTTGAATATCGAGGGTGCATTTGACAATACCTCCGTTGAATAGATCATCAGATCTCTTAGACACAGAGGAATCGAGGACACGTGCGTGTCCTGGATCGACTCTATGTTAAGGGAGAGAACTATTCACACAACCCTTATGCGAGAGACAATAGCGGCACGGGTAGCGAGAGGATGTCCGCAGGGTGGAGTGCTGTTTCCACTCGGAATCTTGTGATGGACGGGCTGCTTTAGGGCTCTCAAAGATAAGGGACATAGAACCCTGGGATATGCCGATGATCTAGTGATCATGGCACAGGGAAAGAGAGAGCTGTCGAAAATCAGCATATTCAAACAATGTCAGACAGCCAAGCGGCACTTAAGGCCATATCGAGTCAGAAAGTTATGTCGAGGCTGGTATGGGAATGCATCGAAGAACTAAAAACACTGGCAGACCGAAATAGAGTAAAACTATTTTGGGTGCCAGGTCATCAAGGGGTCGAAGCCAACGAAAAGGCTGACGAACTTGCAAAAATAGGGTCAGAAGAAACACCGGAACCAGACACAAACCCAGGAGTACCAAAAAGTACAGTCCGGGGTTTCATAAACTACTGGATTCGGGAACAACATATTAACTATTGGGGAAGCACCCCAAAACAGGTACATGGAAAATCCTTCATAGGCAGACTATGTCCCAAAAGAACTGGAGAACTACTCTTTATGAAAAGGAACCAGTTGAAAGTGATAACAGGGTTTATGACTGAGCACGCCCCAGTAATCGGACACTTGAACAAAATTGACATGTACAATGGGGAACTCATGTGCCGACTATGTCACAAGAAACCAGAAACGACCACACACATACTGTGCGAATGCGAAGCTCTAGATCGCAAAAGACAGGCACTTTTTGGACAACCCCAGGTTGATCCAACAACGTATATAACCCACTCACCCAAGGTTCTGTACAAACTTGTACAAGGTACAAAGGTGACAGAGTGGGTGCTATGAACTAACATGGGGTAAAACACAATAAGCCAATAGGCTTCAGTGTTTTCGGAGACATAGTCAGACAAGCCTAGGAGAAGAAAAAAGAAACTAAAACAATATGAGGACCTTTTTTTTAGAAAATATTTAAGCGGATCCCTATCGTCATCCGATGTCCTTTCATTTCAAACAGGTGGCAACTCCTCTAGTTTCTAGTTATCACCCAATAGTATTGTGGCCTGTGTAGCATAACAAACCGATTTATGTGGCCCGAAAGAAAAAAGGTTGAGTACAGCTGATCTAGAAGGTACTTTATGATTTTACACATCATACGTAGTGATTTGATTTTTCTATGCTTTCACAACTCAATCTACATTTAAACTTTTAATCATTTCATCTTCGTTTTTTCAGTCTGCAGTGATGACTACAGTCTCCACCATATATTATTGATCCAATGCAGGATCTCATTGATTTTCTTGGGTACAAAATTCTTTTCCCATTGGTAATATCAACTTTTGCATTTATACAGATGAACACATCTGATCTTTTTTTATTTAGATCGTTGCCCTTTAGACTGCCAACATGTCAACTTATTTACTTTGATACGTCCGTTATTAGGTCTATTAGACCACATATTTGTTAATTTTGGTTTCGAATGATTCTTAAGAATTCCTTAAAAGAAATTTTTACTTTTAAAAAACAAAAACTACAATAAATGTGGTAACGCTGTACTACCATATGAATTTGGATATTACAATTTATTTTCTGTTTAATTTCCAATGTAAGTAACTCTTTGAAATGCTAACTTACTTACTTTTTCAATTAATTGTGTTATTTTGTAATAATAGGCCTCAAGATGGTTATGTAGACCGAAACTAGTCGCGAAATTTTAATAATAAATATAATATGATATTGATTTCGAGTTTTATTCCTATTTCATTATCACCATGAAAAATTCCCGTATTCAAATGTTACCCAAAAAAAAATTTCAAAATTAAATTTCAAAACTCGCTTTACGTCCACCATATTCTTCAGATTAATCTCTATTGTAATTCACTTCAACCTAGCCTCGTATACTTTATTAATAAACATTTTAAAATGGAAAAAACTTTTGGGATACACGGTATGGTAGGTAGAATAATGATTATGCCCGTTTTAACCTTGGAATCTTAAAGCCCTGACCTTTACAACATAAAAAAATGAGTGTCATTAACGAAATCACACAAGGAATCTATTTTGTAATTATTGTATAGTTAAGAACATTTTTATAGAACGACAAAAAAAACCAGGGTACCCACTTTTTTGCATGTACCTATGCATGGTTGAAATCAGCACTTCCAAGTTGGGAACTGAAGATATACTTGTAAAACACTTTTCACCTGATGTATTTTTCTAGTTTGGCTTACGGTACAATGGCTAAGAGAACAGGAAACTTTTTATATTCACACATTATGTACATGGTGAGTACAATGGTCAATACAGAGTGAGGTCATGGTCGTACGGCAAACTTATAGAGACAGAAGTAATCAAAAGCACGTCTTATTTTTGTTTTTTTTTAACACGGCACTTCATGTAATTATTAAATGTTGAAAAATTAAAACTAATTGTTTTTTTGTCTATTAAGTATTTGGGAAAAATTATGAAAGGTCATTGGCAAGACTCTGAACCGAGGTTAGACCAAATTTAAAAATATACTTGTCAGAAAACAAATAAGTATACAGAATGTAACAAAATATGGTGTGCAATACTATCAGAACTTTGAAATAATCGGGTTATATCGTGTGTGGGGTTACTAAGTGATTCACTGGCAAAGGCATAGATACAAGTCATGTCTGTGATAAGTACGCACGCCTCTGAATTAAAAATGATGAAGACATTCGTGATTTTTCCATGACCTACTTTAGAAATATTTTTATGGATAACTTCATAGTTTAATGTAAATAATATGGAGGACAATTGCCTATGGACCTAATTGGTAAGTTTAGATTAAAATGTTTGTTTAATTTTAATGAATGGCAATAATGTAACAAAGTGGTGAGTTAAAATGGTCAAGAAATTTATTTGTATCGGGTGTATAGGTTTTTTTTTCAGGAACTTCTCTGTATATGAGACTATGAATAAAACAAAATAATACAGTCAAATAAGGCAAAAAGAGGGTTAACTTCGGAATGAGAGACAATAAGCTGAATATTTGGATACACCTTTTCTTCACCTTTTAAATATTGGATGAAAAGTCACATGTCATCTGTCTTTAGATATTCAAGGTCAAAGGTCATGAAAATCGGTTTTTGTAAATTTTTCGTTTTTAATGCATCAAATTGTGTTCAAAGTTAATATGAAACTAGTAGAATATAAAATTCTATATAATGTTTGGCATTAGCACAGTACCTGTGACACATCAGCGCTGCATCACTGCAAATTATAATAAAAGTAATTTTAAAAAACCGACTTCAAAATCGTGCAAATTTTTTGCTGATTTTCTCATAGAATGCCATCACCATATCTTGACCAGATTTAAATGGGAGAACCCTTGAGGTACTCCTTTTCTAACAAAAAAGAATCATAGAAATCCGACGACTTGATAAAGAATTATCGGTGAACATACATAAAACCTCCTCCTTTTTGTCTGTTAAAAATGCAAATAAAAGCGCAAATTTTTAATTTATGAAGGTATGAAAAATATTTCGAATAAAATGTACGTGGAAATTTTTTATTTTTAATTCATATTTTGTACAATTTTTGATTAGATGAGCCGTACTCAATATATTGATAACTTTACAGAAAAGTCTAACTTTCTATCGTAACGTTATCTACACTTAGTAATAAAAATTAAAGCTCGCTTGTTGTACCTAGTTAAAACCTAGATAGCCTAAAAGCCAGGTGGGCAATTTTTAAAAAAGTGCAATAAATCTGATTTACTAAGTTTAGTAACGCCATCATTTATAACTTCATCTACGAATACGAGTAAATTGTAACGCATCTACAGGTTTCATTAGAGATTGAAATCGAAAATGTCTATTCATTGATGAATACTAAGAGGGAAGAAAATAATTTTCTGTCTCTGCTGGTTTTCTTTTGATATAATTTAATGCCTCTTGCGATATCGGCCAAAGGAGTAGTTGTTTTCAGAAAGAAAACTTTTCGCACGATTCTCGAGAACGCTTAGAAATAGCAAAATTTTGTATACCTAGATATTTATTTTCTACACAAAACGATTTTGCGACCTCTGACCCTGAATATCTTAAGACGCCTTTACGTAATTATATGTGACTTTTCAATGCAAATATTCAGCTTATTGTCTCTGATTCTGAGGTTTAATCCTAATTTCACTGGCCTAAAACGTTTTAAAAACAATTACTTACCTGTTGGTCACGCACGCGGTCTCTAGCGCCTTCCGGTTTTTGCCTAGCACCTACGAGCTCATAATGGCTCTTCGAGTTCGCGATTCGCCTATTGTGTTCGCCATTAATTGATTTAACTTGTTCTTTCTTCCAACTAGGTGATTGTGACCTCGCCCTGTCAAGTTGCTTATTCAACTTTGTCTTCGGTATCTTAATATTAACGTTTTCAATTTTCGTTTTCGTTTTTTCAGGACCTTTGCTGAATGTCACCACCGACCACCGTCTGTTAGGAGGTTTGTCTTCCAGATCGTAGTCCGGTGGAGGTTCGTAGGGTAGCGGATCCCACTCCCCGCTGTTGGTTTTTATGAATTCTTTGCTATGTGACGGGGTGAAAGTCAGTGAATTGATGGCTCTTTGGCGCGACCTGGGTCGTCTGGTTTGGGCGATGGGGTGATCATCGGACGGTGATGGAACGTAAAATGTTGGAGGTTTCTCCTGGCTCGGATTGTGGAAGAACTCTTGGACGGAGAGAGCGCGTCGTTTTCTTATACCTTGAAAAGATAGAACCTTTATTCGCTTTGTTTAGTTAATATTCCTAAGGTTGCGGTAAGGCCATATATAAACGAAAAATAGACATAGTACGACAAAAAAACAAAAGACGGAATTAAAAATGAGAAGGAAATTCCTATGATAGAAAAATATGGAAAGATAAATAATGTGGATCACAACAACAAACAATTTATTACACACAAGAGTAGAAGGTCAAAGAATTATGTTTTTCATAATTAAAGTATAATATTTGCATTTTATAAAAATACAGGGTGGCCAGTTTTTAATTGAAATGTTTTGCTATCTATTAAATAAATTTGGTTAAATGGTGTAAAGTTGTACATTTCGAAGTCCAATCTTAGGATATTAGAGATCTTCGATAAAACCAAATTAGTTCCATTTCTTGATTCCACTACAGTATGTTTATTTTAATTATAAGCAGAAGCAAATTTTTTGTTGTTTCAAGTTGTACATATTTTTTTATCCGACGTTTTGTAAATGCAGCACCACCATCAACTTCTTTATTACTATAAAACATTTAAATGTACATATGTTCAATACTGAATACAATGATGTAACAACATATTGTGACTAATCATCAACATTTCAGAAGATTTGAACGTCATCAGGTAAGTTTACTACTATGGAACTATATTATAATTTATTTGAAATAAGTAACCAGGGCTGGTATATCTAAAGGCCTTCCTTCTTGGTAGCCATTTTTACGCGAAATAGTATTCACCAAGCCTGCCAATTTAATAATCATAATTTCGAAAATCTTTATCTTTATCTATAACCAAGATAGAGGGGAGACTCAGTAGCCAAGAGATAGTCCTAGGAGCATTTTTTGACAGAAGGAGCTTTTGATAATACCTCCTTTAAATCAATGGTAGCTGCCGCTCGCAAACATGGAATAGAATACACCATCTGTGGTGGTTAGAATACATGTTGCGGACGGCAAGTACAAGCAGAAATGGTCAGTGAAAGCATGCAGGTCAATATCCACAGGGATGCCCACAGGGTAGAGGCCTTTCTCCTCTTCTGTGGAACCTAGTGCTAGATGAACTGCTAAAAATACTGAACAGAAAACAGCCCTCAATACCCTCTCAGGAGTTCAGAGGCTGGCATGCCTTTGTATTACAGGAGCACTGAGAAGTACACCTCTTGACCTAGTCATAAAGGGGGAGGCCAGAATGAGTGCATACAGACTGAAAATCTCCAACAACTGGAACCCACTGGAACATACAAAACATACCAGAATAACACATGAAGTAAATGATTCTATATTAAACATAAAATCAGATCACATGACACCCCTTCTAACCTTCAACAGACTCTTCCAGGTCAACTGGAACGAGATAAAATAGGAGATAGATAAATACTTGCTTAGCGGTCTCGTATGGTACACAGATGAATCTAAAACTAACAAGGGAACAGGCTCTGGCGTACGTGGAGTTAAACCCAAATGCGACATCATCATATTACTGGGAAAACATACCACTGTACTTCAAGCTGAAATACATTCAATCTAATGTGTACGAGAGAATTTAAGAAGGAAGTACAAAAAACAAACCATCCTAATTCTCTCAGATAGCCAAGCAGCCTTAAGGCTCTTGATTCAAACAGAATCAAGTCAAAACTTGTCTGGAACTGCCTTGGAATATTAAATGATCTAGCAACCCACAACAAGGTAAAACTAGCGTGGGTACTAGGACACAAATATATCCAAGGCAATAAAAAGGCTGATGAACTCTCCAAAGAGGGATCAGATCTACCATTCACAGGACCCGAACCTGTATTTGGGATAAGCCAAACGTATGCTCGACAGGCAGTGAACAGGTGGATAACCACAAAACACCAAATTCACTGGCAAAAAATAACAGGGCACTGCTTGCTAAAACACCTTCATGTGATGGGATTACACAATGATCTCACTGCGTGTAGACTCTGCATGGAAGAGGAAGAAACCTCATACCATCTGATCTTCGAATGCGAAGCTCTTACTAGGCGATGTTTCACTCTTTTCGGCCTAGAACCGGAAAGAACGCCCCAGGAACACTTGGCAGGGAATTTATTAAAACTAACCAAAGACACAGGACTATTCCAAAGATAGTACCTGAATTCGGGGAAAGCAAGGGAATACAATAGACCCAAGAGGCCGCAGTGTTCTGGGCCAAACCTAACCCTACCTGCTTATAACTGACACAGATAAAGATAAAGACTATAAACTTACTTTATAATGTTCAAATCTTCCGAAATGGTAACTAATCACAATATGTTGTTACATCAATGTACTCTGAATTGAATATGCATTAAAATGATCTGTCAAACTAACACTATACCGTATGAAAATGAAGAAATTGATGATGGTCCTGTATTTACGAAACGACGAATAAAAAAATTATATTATGTACACACTTGATATTAAACAAAAAAAAACCTAGAATGAGGTTTTGTGTATTTTTGAAAAAACGTACTGTTGTGAAACAAATAAATGTAACCAATTTATATTTAATCGAATATTTAGAAAATCAGCCATGATATTTTGGTTGTTAAAACGTCCTCAAATTGGGCTTCGAAATATTCAACTTTATCCCCATTTATAATTTTGTGTTACTAATGGTTTACCAGATAGCAATATATTTCAATTAAAAAGTGACCACCCTATATTGTAGATAATGTTTTCAGCATTTATTTCACTTCGTCTAACCATAGAGTAATATTATTACACCTTGTAGTAATATGTGTTACGTTCGCTAAAAATATGTAGTATTGTTTTTTACAGTGATTTGGTGTGGGAATTGTGTTCATCCTTTGAAATTAACTCGTCAAGGTCATAAAGAAGATAAAAAAACATGAACTTTTGACTGCCTCTAATATGATTTTACCATTAGTACAGATCCGGGCCAATTTAATATAAATATTATATAGTATGTCTGAAAATCGAGTATCTATATTGGCGTCTCGTTTAATATGAGAGATAAATGTTGAATATTTTGATTCGGTCCGTTTTTATAGTCATTAAAAGTTATGTAGTTTTTGAGTAATTTCAAAAAAACTAAAAATGGTCGTTCTGTATTATTGAGGCTTAATCGTTAATTTGACATACTCCCAAAGTATTATATTGTTAGACACTTATTAATAAAGAATGTTTTTGTAGAAAAAACAAATTGTGTTCTCTTTTTGAGTTACCTATCGTAACTTTCTTTCTTATAGCGGCCATCTTGGATTTTTACATAACATTGTTTCCCTCTAAATTGTCTTTTAAACGATGTGCCACATGCTATACAAATTTTTAAGAAATACTCTTAAATCAATAAAAAAACTAATATTTTCATTTCCTTTAAAAATGAAACGTTTGTCAACAAATTATCTACAATAACTTCATGACTTGACATACTTTCAATTTTATTTTTCGAAAAGATTTAGTCTATACATATTCATATTTCGCACTGTCAGTTCATCGCAAGCCGTCAAAGATTAAGAAAAAATTAAAAATATAAAAAAAAAACTTAAAAACTTTTAAAATGAAACTCTCTACAGTAACTCAATAACAAGACATACTATCAAGTTCGTGTATTGCCACATACATACCCATATTTAGTATTGGTAGTATTGGTCAATTTATCGTCAATGAGTGAGAAAAAATTTAAAATATAAAAAAAAATTTTTTAAATGAAACGTTTGTCAACAAACTATCTACAATAACTCCATAACTAGCTAGACTTACTATCAAGTTCATGTTTTAACAAGATTAAGTCTATACATATCCATATTTAATAATGGTACCGACAATTTATGACAAGCCGTGAGAGTAAAAATAAATTGAAATGTTAAAAAATAAATTTAAAATGAAATGTCTGTCAACAAACTATCTGCAATAACTCCATAACTAGAAATACTATCAAGTTCATGTTTTGTAAAGAATTAGTCAATACATATCCATATGTAATAGTGGTACTATCAATTCATCGCAAGCTGTCAAGAGTAAGAAAATGTAAAAAATATAAAAAATCTTTTAAAATGAAATGTTTGTCAACAAACTGTCCATAATAACTTCATAACTAGTAACTAGACATACTAGCAGGTTCATGTTTTGACAAGATTATGTCTATACATATCTGTATTTTACGATGGTACTATCAATTCATCGCAAGCTGTCAAAGAGTAAGAAAAATTAAAAATTAAAAAAAAATATTTAAAAATGAAGCTTCTGTCAACAAACTATCTACAATAACTTTATAACTGGACGGACATACTATCAAGTTTATGTTTTGAAAAGTTTTAGTCTATACATATGAATATGTATACACATGTATAGACTTATTCTTTTTGAAATATGATAGTATGTTTAGTTATGGAGTTATTGTAGATAGTTTGTTGACAGGCGTTTCATTTTTAAAGGATTTTTTTTTATTTTTTCTTACTCTTTGACAACTTAAAATAAATGGACAGTATCATTACTAAATATAGATATGTACGGGGTGTTTCATTAAGAGAGGTAGCTATATTTCAGAAACTAATAATAGTACAGCTCTGGGGAAAAATATTTTTAATAAAAATGGTCAAAAGAAATTGCTGGAAATTATTTTCAAGTTTGTAGGGTGGAGCTAGGGGGCGTAGTTGTAACGTCAAAACATAAAAATGTAATTTTCTCAAAAAAGTACCTAGTAAAGTATATTGATAAATATTATATTTTATTCTTCAATGTTTTCTGAACAAAAAAGCTTTAGGTGTAATTTTTGTCAGTTGTGAAATAGAGTGGTGAAGAAAGGTTAAGCTTTAATTTGGAAAAATGCTCATAACTCCGGTTTGGCTTTACCGAATTTAGTGCACTTGGTTTCGTTTAGAAGAGCTTTTTCAGTCAGTTTTTATCTTAACGCCCTCTAGCGGCGTTCGTAAAACGTAAGCAGCCACAGTTTATAAAGCTAAAAATGAGACTAAAAAAGCTCTTCTAAACGAAACCAAGTGCACTAAATTCGGTAAAGCCAAACCGGAGTTATGAGCATTTTTCCAAATTAAAGTTTAACCTTCCCCCACCACTCTATTTCACAACTTACAAAAATTACACCAAAAGTTTTTTCGTTCAGAAAATATTAAAGATTAAAATAGTAATATTTATCAATATACTTTACTTGGTATTTTTTTGAGAAAATTATATTTTTATGTTTTGACGTCACAATTACGCCCCCTAGCGGCCACCCTACAACAGCAAATTCTCTTGACCGTTTTTATTAAAAATATTTTTCCCCAAAGCTGTACTATTATTAGTTTTTTAATGGAACACCCGGTACAGACTGAATTTTTCAATACTAGTATGTCTAGTTATGGAGTTATTGTAGATAGTTTGTTGACAGTCGTTTAATTTTTAAAGTTTTTTATATTTTTAATTTTTTCTTCATCTTCGACGGCTTGCAATGACTTTTATTGACAGTACCACTAAATATGGATATATATAGACTGATTGTTTTTAAAATATGAACTTGATAGTATGTCTAGTTATGAAGTTATTGTAGATATTTTGTTGACAGACGTTTCTTTTTGGAAATAACTCAAAAACTACATAACTTTTAACAATTTTGAAAACGAATCTGAGATCAGCATAAAATTCCCTAAAATATTCCTCATTTAAAAAATATTTCCTATTATATTAATCGAGATATCAGTATAGAGACTTGAACGAATTTCGGACACATTAATGTATCTTGTTTATCAATAAGTTAAAAGTTAGACACATTTTACGTAACATTTTTTAATTAAATATTATAATGATTAATATGTTATCAAACATTTTAAATTTCAAAGTGACCGCTTATTTGTATAAACGATTATTTAATTTAAAAAGAATAATTGAATTACAATAAACGTATAAAGATAAAATATCTAAATAAATAAATATTATCTAAAACTATGAAAAAATTGAATTCTATTAGTAAACTATAAAACAAATACTTATAATTAAATGACAGACCACTGATAACAACAATCATAAATTATCACCTCCTAAACAATATTGACGATATATTTTTATAAAAATGTACAGGACAACTCAATTTTAATTTTGTTTTTTGAAATACAATACGTATTTAGGGATTACAGTTATAACTAAGTTAATGTGGTCAACATCCCTTTCGGACTGAAGCTTGAAGATTAATTTAAAGACAATACGAATGAGCAAGAAATGTTACGACACTCTGAAATTACACATATCATGTTTAATCAAGGGACAATTAGGAAGTAAAAATTGGAAATAATTCTCTAATACTGAAAAATTCCGAGAAATTTAAATAATATAAGTACTGTCAGATCTACTCACCTATATGAATTTGATTTAGTTTCGCCCTCAGTACATCTTGAACGCTACTCTTCTTGGTAGTGTTGGGTATTCGTAACGAAGAAGTGGTATGTGGTGTGCTGACTAGAATGTGAGGGGTCGTCGATTCCAGCAATGTACTTTTAGATGTTTCCGAATTGTATACATTACTGCCCCTAAGAGATGCGCAGCATTTTCGAAGCCTCTTCCATTTCTGGGATATACTGCCATTTAAATCTGAAAAAAATTTTCCTAATCCAAAATTGACACAGTCGAGCTCAATTGTATGTACAAACTAAAGATCTAAGCACCAGATAGTAAATCAAAATCGTCATGCCATGCAAGGCTGCTCACTCAACCACGTATTAGGTAGGTTTGTTTCTGCAGTAATTTCTGCAATAGTCCGTACTATAAACAATTGAAAAAGCACGTTCATGTAGAGTTGAAAACGATTTGCTGATAGTTTGATCTTTGTTTCCGCAAAGAACGAGGCACGAATTACATGGAGTTATGGACTACCGTACATTTTTAACATTTTTTATATTTTGAGTGAAAATTGTAAAATATTAGAAGATACATCCGCTCGAAGAATAAAAGTCTGTAATAACACCCAAGAAAGTGTTTGCTTATAACTCGAAAAGTATTTGACAGTTTTTAACGATTTTTTTATGTAACAGGATTTAATACTCTATTTATTGTTTATTGTTATACAGAGTGTTACATGTAAATCCAGTTGAAAGGTTTCAGCCAATATAACAATGCAAACAAAACACCTTAAAAAGTAACATAAAAAAACTTGCAAACTTTTTAATTTGTTAAGTACTATTAGCGGCATTTGTAAATGTCAAAAGCAAAGCCTGCTTGGATAAATTTCTATCTTAGTAGGGTAAACCGGGGTCGATAGTAACAATTTAAGTTTGATTTTCAATCTCGGTAATACAATTATATTTATTGAAAAAGTTATTATGTCTAAATATTAATTAGATACTTCAAATTATTATAAAGTATTATTTAAAATTTTAGGATCAATACAATAAAAATTATTCATAAAAAATTAAGAAGGGGTTTAATATTACAACCGGACCCGACCACGCAGAGGTTGTAACATTATACGGGGTCTATAGTAACACAATGTTAAAGAATAAAAACAACAAATATTTATTCAAAGAAATAAGAAATAATACAAAAACAACCCCACTTTTTTAAAAAGGAAAGTGTTTATCTTGAAAAAAAATCAACTTATTAAAAAACTACTATTTATGTAAACTATAAAATCATTCCGAATCACAATTATGACAAATAAGTCCTCTTGTTGGGTGCATGCTTCATGTGACCAACTTTTACACTCTATGCACTACACCACTACACCTATTTTTCACCTGGTCTACTTGCACTGTAAGGCTCAACGCAGACAAGACAGTAAGACTCTTCATCTTCCTCATCACTATCTTCTTTCTTGTCTTCGTTTTTAACTTTATGTTTTTTAGGATGATTCAGTTTTTTCATCTTTTCTTCATATTCTGCTCTTATATTTTCTTTTTCAAGAGTATCAGTGTATACAGTCGATTTTTTTCTCTTTTTTCTTTTATTTGCTTCTTTTTAAGTTGGTTGATCGATACAGATTTGTTGCCTAGTCCATTTTTTGGTTCTGGCAATCTGTTTGAGCTAATTTCATTTTCATTTACGGTTTCAGTTAAGGAGGTCGGTCTATCTGTAACATAAGATGGTGCATAGTCGAGAGATGTAAATATGTTTCTGTTGTAGGAAAATATTCCCGTACATTTGAAGCCTGCTTGAATGTTGCCTAACGTTAGTGCCATTGGGAGACCTGTTGCGACTATGGAGGGGATGTTATAAATCGTCATTGTCTTTTCCGGATTGCTGCGCATTCAACCATCACAAAGGATCCTTCTTTGTGATGTAGAAATTCTCTTCTCGGTCTTTGGGTAATATATTTTTATCTTCTGGTGATCTTGCCATCTACCATTTCTTTCTTAGTTTTCTTTTCCTGCTACCAGTTCTCTTATCTCGACAGGATAGTTTTTCCAGTTATTAATCTTCTTACTTTTGGTGTGTTCCTCCATGCAGCTTGACCCCTTATAGAGCTTGATATTTCTTGAAATTTTTAAGTTGATATCATTTTTTGTTTTTGACGTGCAGACAAAACACGTGGCATCAGACGGATGGACAAAGTAAACCTATAAATACTCTTCCCAGACTACTGTTGTGAAGAGTATAGTAATAAATACATTGGGTGTTTTAGAGTGTTAAATTACCTATCAAACGAGAACATAATCGTTAAAAACTGTCCAATACTTTTCCAGTTATGAGCAACAATGTTCTTGAGTGCTATGGCGGATTTGCGTTTTTTGAACGACAATATTTTCTATCACAGACATACGATTTTCATTATATTAGATAATGTTCACTCAAGAGGAGGATAACATACCCGTTACCATAACTTGTCTTAGAGTTCTCAAAAAAGTTTATTTTCGAAAATTAGAAAAACAAATATTTTTTTTATATCGTATGTATGGACAATTATTTGTTTATTTATTTCCATAAATAGTTAATTTTTTGATAGTGATTCTAATTCATTTTGCGAAGTATATTAATTAATGATAATAGTATTTTTAAATAACTTTTAAACAAAAATATTAGATATTGATGTTCACCATTTACTTTAAGTTGTTTACCTGCCGTATTCATGTAATAAAATCAAAAAATAAAAAAGTTATGATGATGATTATTGACATAAAAATAAATCTTATATCAATAGGTATTTTATCACATAAATTTGTTATTATGGTTATTATCGTACAATGTCTCTTAATCATACTGAAGCAGAATAAGTAGTATAATAGTTTTGTGTTTTAAAACCGATAAAAGGGATTTCAATTGATTAACTACAAATATTTTTCGAATAATGCGGAATTTACAAATAAAGTCTCATTTAAGATTCTAATTAAATCTGTAGTTACTAAGACTGAAAATTGGTTGAGTGACTACATATATAATAAATTCAAAAACAAATGAAAAATATATCGGGCTTAAACCTTAGTGCTATTCTACTTTTAGAAGCATGAAACATTTCAAAACCCAATGAAGTAAGCATGTAAGAAGGTGGCTTCCAGTATTATACATTTGTATAGTACTTATATAAATTTGAATTTAACCAATAAGAGTAAGAGCCAAAAAAACCATTAACAAGTAACACAGTTTACAATATCTTTAATAAATAAATATAATACACACTTGAGGATTATTTCATGCAGGTATGTATAAACAATAAGTAGATGCGAATGCTCACATTGTTTTGTCACAATAATGACATTTTTATGTGATGCCCATACAAGAAATTCTTTTTAAATTCTAACGCTACTACTTCTATTGTATTCAGGCTGAAATTAGTCCCTATTATATGTAGATTTTTTGGGCTAGGACCATTATAGGCATTAACTGATGGATTAGATGCTTACATATATAGTCACATTTTATAACTAAATACAGCTTGGCTTACTTTACGTTTTGAGGTCGATTTAAAATAAATAAGTAGCACGATAGACATGAATTGATTACGATATGCTTTAGTTCCAGCATTAAGACGAACGAATTCGAATAATTTGAACGAATTATTTCTAAATACAGTTTTTAATGTGTTTATAACAAGAAATAGAACATAATAACTCGATACAAACAACCTATTGGGACATAAAGTGAGCGCAAGTTTTTTTGGACCAAAATATGAGGATTATTTGAACAAACTAAAATTAGGAAAAGTTAGTCTTAATGCTTCCAAATGATTTTCGTCTTATTTCTGTTTTACCAATGTTCTTAATAAAAGAATAAATTGTTACATACTTCGACAAAAAAAACTGTGTAGTGCAAAAATCAATTCGGGTATTTAAGGGGAAGAATTCAATTAAAGCAATATATTATCAGTACTAGAGAAATTATCGAAAGCTACACTCTTAGATCTTTCAAAGGCTTCCGATTGTGTAAGTCATACATAAATCTTTTGAGGACGTTAGAATGTTTTCCTACGACAACATACGAAAACGATACATTTACAAGAGAACATATGCTGATAGGGGTGAGTCACATACACTTCTTGGTTGTATCTGTGCTGACGGGACATGGATTCCTCCCCTAATTATTTTTAAAGGAATTCGCTGGAATGATAATTTAAAATCAGACTTGGTACACTAGTTAAACTGTCTTCTAAGGGTTGGATCAACACTGATTTATTTCTGGAGTGGTTCCAATTCTTTATTAAATCAATTCCTCCAGCTCGTCCTGTTATCCTTCTGATGGATTCTCATGCCTCTCATATAAATACCACAGTAATTTCTCTAACTAAAGAGCATGACATTTATTTATTCATTTTTCCGGCGCACACATCTCATTTGCTTCAACCCCTAGATGTGGGCTTGTATAAATCTCTTAAGGCCAATTGGTCTAAGAGTTTAAACGATTTTATGAGAGAACATCTTTTTGTCGTTCCAATATCACAAATGCTTTTCGAAAAACTGGGACGCTATTCCCAGAGAGGCTGTTGCTCCGTCTCTACTTACCAATAAAGCAGCTCCTCAAGGACCAGTTGTTGCAGATGAAACTGAGCCAGCCACTGCAACTGATCAGAAGCAGTTATTGTCTCTACCAGTGGCACCCAGTGCATCCGATGTTTCCTCACTAAACGAACCTTCTATACTAAATGAACGTCAAGACTCAGAAGTCGTCTACATCCAAAGCCAAGACTATTTCTAAAAAGAAAGTTCCCCAACAGCAGAATGACAATGAGGATGACTGGAGGTGTGGTGTTTGTGAAGGAAGTTACTTGGAAGATTGTAAGAAGAAAAATGGAGCACGGTGGATACAGTGTGCCTACTGTTTAGTACCATATCACCTTAAATGTCAAGCATCCGAGGAAGATACTGTTTTTATGTGCGATAGTTGCGCTGGTACTAGCAGCGATGACTCAGATTAAAATTTTACGCATAAAGCGATACATTTTAACTTGTAATTTGTAACATGTAACCGATAATAAAACCGTATCTTACAATTTTTAGCACTAACTGTTGTCTCACGAATATACCTACCCCATATCACGAAATAAGATATCCTATCACGAAATTACCTTTCCTTGACTATGTTATTTTAAAACTTTTTTTAGTGAGTTTCTAAGTTTTTTAATAAAAAAATACCAAAATCTAAAGCCAAACTGTAAGGTCTTAGCTCCCTCACAATTATAG